AGGTGTTCTCTGGTATTCTTTTATACCCTGTATTTGTAGCTCTCTTGTTTAGGTGTTCTCTGGTATTCTTTTATACCCTGTATTTGTAGCTCTCTTGTTTAGGTGTTCTCTGGTATTCTTTTATACCCAGTATTTGTAACTTATTTCTTAACATACTCCTGCAGTGTTGACAACCTTGACAATAAACGAGACCTTCAGACTTGGACATTCCTATAAGATTGAAACAGACAATCCAGTATAACCAAATAGTATATCAATGAGTTTGCTGCTGACAACAAGATTATTTAATTTCTATTTTTTATTAATAAAATATATAAATAATTTGGCCCTTGGGAGTCAAGTACTCAGCAAAGGGAAATTTAGCTCCAGGCCCTGTCGACGACACTTGGTATAGATGGACCAAGCCCCATGGACATGGACACTCCGTCAACCAACCGGAACCAGATGAGTTCCTATAAGGGGATGAAGCGTTGCTCCATCTCATAGCAGGTGGCTACGATAAAAGGGGGTTAGATTGACGGTGGAGAGAGAAATAAATGTAGATGTATTACATTTAATGACTTGGGGGAAATGAGAAATTAGACCAGTGGTCAATTTCGAAAGGGTCCAAAAAGTCAGGTGTGAAACAGCTGAGTGACCCCCAAGGTAATAAATGGGAAAAATTGGGTTTTAAGGAATGAAACCTTCAACTACACACTGTGGAATTCTATTAAACACAATTTAAGCTGTACATAGTTTAATGATATAACACACAACTGACTAATTCATGAAAATAGAATGTGTAAGAGTTAACATGTAATCTTAGTGCTACCTAGATTTATATATATATATACATACATAATATACATAATAACTGTACAAATTTTAACTGTTACAAATTTGTTGCTGTGCGTTCTTAATAGAAGATTTCTCTGTCCTAACATATCGACAGTAACTATCAGAACTCCATCTACCTAATGTTTTAATTAAGTGATCTTCAATATTAGTTTTACCAGCACTGGTTGCTGCACCTATACGAAAAGAATGTCCATTATATAGGGCGGCTTGGTATCCACAGGCTTCTAATAAAATTTTTAAATTTGTAATAAAATATTTTCTTTCTAAAGCTGAAAGATTTTCATTAATGAACCATGGATCTGAAAGTGCACATTTTCCTTTAACTGATCTTAATTGTAAGTAGTTCTTTAAAGTTGTATAAGGGCATAGGATATTATTTAGCCTATGCAATTGTATATCAATGCCTTTCCTAAAAGGATCTGTTTTTGACTGCTTTAGGTGAAGAATTGCAAAATCTTCATAAAATGTAACATCAGAAACACATAAATTAGATTCTGAATCAAAGTTAGATGCATTATCTACAGTAAATTCACCACAACGTAAAAAACCATGAAATGCTACAATACAAACAGTTTCAAACATTAAGTCTATAAATTCTGAAAAAAAGCCTCTCTTCAGTTTAACACACATTTGCTTTAGTATGTCAGAAGTAATTGGAAATCTTGGCCTGACTGACTGTTTTTGTGAACGTTTAACCGACTTTAGAAATAAAGAGAGTCGAACCATTGATTTGTGGTCTCTGTCTGATGATTGAAAGGGTGAGGGAATATCGTCCATGAGGCACATGTATCTAATACCACAAATATACAGCTTAATAGTAGAATATTGTAACTTCAGAATTTGAAAAGAATGACCAACAAAATAAATTAAAAGTTCTTCAGAAATGGGAGGTAATTTGTTCCCATTCAGGTTGACCCCATTTAAAAGTAAAAATGTTTTGAAATGGTTATATCCTGTTTCATAAACAGCTCTTGTCCTCATAGCTACTGCATTAGACCATAGTGTGTTGACTGTGTTTGTTAAGACCACATTACTTCTGACACACTTGGGCATATATGAGGGTGCTGCTCTGCCTGTGGAGCCAGTTTTCGGAAGCGAGTCATCTGAAAACGAGACAAAGCATCAGAAATTTGGTTAATATGACCAGGTACATGTTTAGCACTAAAATGAAAATTAAACTTAGCTGCACACCATGTTAGTTGACGCATAAGTTTCATGATTTCTAAACATTTAGAGCGTCCCTTTCTGACAATAGCAACAGTAGCTTCATTATCACACCAAAATAATATCTTTTTACAGGGCCAGAGGTGGCTCCATAACAATGCTGCTACTACAATAGGGTATAACTCAAGGAAAGCCATTGACAAATTGTCAGTTAAAGTAGGTAAATTAACAGGCCAATATGAAGAGAACCATTTGCCTTGAAAATATCCCCCAAAGCCTATTGTAGAAGCAGCATCTGTATATAATTCAAAGTCATAACTGGATGTAAAATAACAATCATGAAACATAGTGATGCCATTCCAGTTTGACAAAAATCTCAACCAAAATTCTAAATCTACCTTACATTCTTTAGTTAAATGTACAAATTCATTTAAATGTTTAACAGTAGTTGACAAATTAATTAGGTACGACAAAAAAGATCTGCCAGGTAAAATAACTCTTGTGGCAAAATTAAAATGTCCTAACAACTGTAATAACTGTCTCTTTGTACAAGATGATTTTGACAACAATTTGGAAATAAACTCGCATATTCTCTGTACTTTAATATTTGGAAGTCTTGCTTCCATTTTGTTTGAATCTAAAATAATACCTAAATACTCTAGACAAGTAACTGGTCCTTCAGTCTTGTGTTTGGCTATTGGAATATTTAAACGTTTAAAAATGGTCATCATTATAGCCATGCTTCTTTCACCATCTTCACTTGGGTGATCAATAGTAAGAAAATCATCAAGTAGATGTAAAATGTTCTTAATCTTATAATTTTTCTCTGCAATATGGCAAATTGCCTGTGACACTGTGTCAAAAATTTTAGGACTAGACCGGCAGCCAAAAGTTAATCTTACATAATAATAATAAAAAGACTGCCATTTGAAACAAAATAAAGGCCACTGGGATGGCAAGTAAGGACAAATTTTGAACGCGTCGGATATGTCATATTTACATAGTGTACTGTTCCTTCCTAATTTTAGAATAATTCTTATAGCGTCATCAATTTTAACATAAGACATGGAACATTCTTCTTTATCAATCATATCATTAATACTTAGAAAACTGTCATTGTCATGTGGAGATGAAAGATCTAAAATCAAACGTTTCTTCCCAGAGTATTTTCCTTCAGCAACACCCAGTGGACTCACTCTATAATTTGCAGAAGGTACGGACTGAAAAGGTCCATGTACAAAGCCTTTTTGGCATTCAGTTTTAATTAACTCTGATACAACTAAAACCTGAGACCTTGCAGAAAAATTATTTTTACACTCTTTAGATTCTGAAATTTCCCCTTGAACTAAACAATCAAAACCTTGTCTCAGACCATTACATAGATATAATACAAAATTTTTATCAGGATGTGATGATAACTCTTCCTCTAATTTATCAACATTTACTGGTGTTGAAGCTTCATAAAAGAACTTTTCCTTGGATAGTCATCCTGAATTTGGTTTCTCCAATTTATTTCCCTTGGAGGACACTGAAGATGTTGAAGAATGAACAGGCACATTGCTATTGGATTTCCTACAGGTTGAGGCACCATGGCCTGTTGCACGACATTTTGTACACTTGTGGAGGAGATAACACACTTTCCTATAACAACCTTTAGGATTATTGAAATTATTGCACATTTCCAGACCTTCATGAAATACTCTTGAACGACCTTGCTTGTCTACGGATTGTAGGTTGCTAGATGAATATGATCTTGAAGAGGAATTTTCAACCTGGACTGATGATTGCAATGGGCAGTATTGTGTAGCATGATCAATTAAATTACAGATTTTACACACGTTTACTGAGGATCCCGCTGTTATCAAAGAAAGGATGTCACGATCACGAAGGCTCCAATCAACCTTAACATGCCTTTCCCTCAGAAGTGCTGCTGCCTTTGCTGTAAAAATTTTATGATAGTCATAAAATTTTGGGCCATAGAAATTATTAATGTTAATAATGTCAGCTTCATAGGCATCTAATTCATCCCGACGGTCTGGGTAGGCACCACACATAATTCTTTTGAATTTTCCAAAAGCTTGAATAAACTCTTGGATTGATAGATGCCTGTTTAATCTTGGGTCTGCTTTATTTGCTAAATTGACATGCACCCCGTCTGCAATTATGGAATGGTTTACAGGAGACTCAAAATTGGGAATAAGGAGAGCGCCTAAGTTTACATCCTTACCCTCAATAATGCTCCTTTGTAATGATGGAGACACAATATCCACATTTGAGAATGCATCAGATCGGACTCCAGCTGTAGGGCACAGAGTTGTGGACAAATATCCAAGAGATGGTGTTGTTGACAGTGGCAGTGTTGGGCGGTTCTGTACGGATCCGTGCACGGCTAGTGGTACGTCCTCCATATTTCTATTCTGGTACCACTGCGCTAGATCAAATTTCTTTGCAGGACCGCTTTCTGTACTTTTTTGGTTGGCGATAAGGCTGACTGTCTGTTGGAGACCTGACGCGCATTGTGCTACAGACTGCGACACTATACTGAAAGATTGGATAATGGCAGCCATGTTGTTGCCACCGACGCTGTCGAACTGCGCACTTCCGGTTGAATCGTTGACATCGCTCCGCGAACTACTTTCATCAGCTGTTGGATGACGCAATCCGTCGGTATCATTCGCGGTACTGTCTGAGGCACTCCCGGAGTGTTGTGCTATAGGATTCAGCACGACATGTTCTGGATCACTAACATGTTCATCGTTCTGGGCGATATTACCGTTACTATTTTGGCGATCTTTATTTTCTAAATAAAATTGTTTAAGAACGGTTTTAGCAACATTTTTGGGTACAATAATCCCCAACTGCTGCAGTTTTATCCTAAGTTGCTGTGACGTCCAATTGTCTGGATTATTTAAGTCCAAATGTCTATTTGAATACGGTTGATTTCTTGAATTTCTTCTGGAAGCCATAATTATTGAAAGTTCAATATCTTTGCTTTTTTTACCCTGACCAATACAGGGCTGCAAAAATAGTCTATAGACTCATTAATTTGTTCCTCTCCACGGAAATCTTTAGTAAAAGGCGAAAGATTTATTCGTGGATTGAAGAGAAACCAGTGGGATTATCTTACTAATAGAAACTTTGTGTTTTAACATTGCTATATTTAACATTCACTTTTACTTAGCAATTTCAAAGAACATTTTAGTAACTGTTACAAAGATATTGAACTTTCAATAATTATGGCTTCCAGAAGAAATTCAAGAAATCAACCGTATTCAAATAGACATTTGGACTTAAATAATCCAGACAATTGGACGTCACAGCAACTTAGGATAAAACTGCAGCAGTTGGGGATTATTGTACCCAAAAATGTTGCTAAAACCGTTCTTAAACAATTTTATTTAGAAAATAAAGATCGCCAAAATAGTAACGGTAATATCGCCCAGAACGATGAACATGTTAGTGATCCAGAACATGTCGTGCTGAATCTATGGAACGCCACAGCTGTCTTATGTGGAACTCTGATATTACTTTATGTTGTTTTATTATTACTTGATGATATTTTGTCTTTACTTAATATGGTTTTGACATTACGTAATGATGTTTTGATATAACTCAATATGGAATAGTCATTACTTAATGATATTTCGATATTACACGATATGGTTTCGTATTGACTTGATATAGTTTTGTCATTACTCAATATGGTTTTGTCATTACTCGATGTGGTTTCACCATTATTTAATGTGGTTGTGTCATTAGTCAATGTGGTTTTAACATTACTTGATGTGAATGTGACTTAACGTTATGTAGTTGTTTCATTACATGATGTGGTTTTGTTATTTCGTAATGATGATTTGCCTATTCTTTATATGGTTTTAACATTACGCAATGATGTTTCAAAATTTGACGATTTTACACTACATGATGTGTTTGTTTCATTATTTGATGTGGTCCTGTCATTCTTTGATGTGGTTATCCCATTACTTGATGAGGTAAAACCAAGTGACCAATTCGGAAAAAAATATGTTCTATTTTTAAACAGATTTCAATATATCGTTTGTTTAAGGTGCTTTGGATGGGTATCGCTAATCCATTGAGTTAAAGTTCAAATTAAAGTTCAAGTGGTTGTTCAGAGTTATTTGGTATGAAAAAGGGGAACGGCAGACAATAATAAGAAAAAAAGTATTAAAAAGTTTACAGTATTTCGGACATAATTGGGATATCCCCAAACCACTTGGTCCTGTTGTTTTTATCCTAAGTTCTCAAACGGAAGCAGTATTTTTGTAATAAATTTGTAAAATATTCCACGGAACCATGTGTCTCGCCTGATATTGCTGCTGTAAGTGTAAAAGCGTCATGTTGATCGACTGTACATTTATTTAACCCATTTCTCTGACGTCAGTCTATTGTTCTTACTGTAGATTATTTTTCAAGAATCCACTGACCACAGTATTAACTTAAGAGAACTTAAATTATAACTTTAACCTTTTAACTTACGATCTTTTATCCTCTCAAAAACAAGTGGCATGTGTAGAATTCGAACCCGCGCGTATTTTCTTTATAATCAATACTCTTCAGTCTATGCATGATACCACTAGACCACGATGGCTGACATCAATCATTATATGAATAGTACTCTTAAAGCGCTTAATTGTCAATACATGTCATTTAACTGTATTTCTGTCTCACTGATAATTCACTTTTGTAATCTAATGAAATATATATATCTTGGTTTGTTCATGTTTATTGATTTTATTTTTATTTTGTGTGTGATGTTTTTTTTTTAAGAAATGGGTTAAAACTACTTCTTTGACAGTAAAAACAGAAACAAATTCATCGCCATTATATGAAAATGAAATATATTTAACCCATTTCTCTGACGTCAGTCTATTGTTCTTACTGTAGATTATTTTTCAAGAATCCACTGACCACAGTATTAACTTAAGAGAACTTAAATTATAACTTTAACCTTTTAACTTACGATCTTTTATCCTCTCAAAAACAAGTGGCATGTGTAGAATTCGAACCCGCGCGTATTTTCTTTATAATCAATACTCTTCAGTCTATGCATGATACCACTAGACCACGATGGCTGACATCAATCATTATATGAATAGTACTCTTAAAGCGCTTAATTGTCAATACATGTCATTTAACTGTATTTCTGTCTCACTGATAATTCACTTTTGTAATCTAATGAAATATATATATATCTTGGTTTGTTCATGTTTATTGATTTTTTTTTTATTTTGTGTGTGATGTTTTTTTTTTAAGAAATGGGTTTAAACTACTTCTTTGACAGTAAAAACAGAAACAAAATCATCGCCATTATATGAAAATGAAATATATATAATACTTTTACATGTTCTAGGATTAAAACAATATTTTGGTGCAGAAAAAAATTACAATCAAAAAATTTCATTCCGGATACTAGGTTCGAACTTTGCACTGCTAATATCACCGTTATGACATTCGTTACCAACGACTAGACGATCACGGCTATGAACAGCTTGATGGTAAATGAATGAAATCCACATTCTTATTTATTGTAAGTCCGTAGCAAGAGCAATTCTGATGGGGATTCAGAATGCGTACCACAGATAAAACTAGTTTATTGACCGGTGAACGATATATGCCAAATGTAATAACGTTAAAATAATCTTAACTTAATGAAACGGAAACAGTTTAAACAAAATTTAAATATAATTGTTCAATTTAAATCGTTAGCACATACTGTTGAATACTTATGGAAAGCAACATGAATTTGAGCATTATCATGAAATGGCAGGTTTATGGCATCAACGCTAGTAATATTTATCTGACTAAGAACGGCTTCACGGTGATTAATCTCCAATATACCAATTCAAGTTGCTAAATATTATATAAATACATTTTGAAGGTTCTAAATTTTGGTAATTAAAATTTTTTAACTTTTCAAAACAAGATAAATAAATTCTGTATATTAATATACGTCTTTTTGAATAAATTAAATATACCAAAATCTATTCAATTTAAATAATTTGTAATGATTAAACATTATATGAAATATGTATTATATACAAAAATAAAATCTGGTGTTAAAAAGGGGAGCTTACACCCCATTTAAGTTATTTTAAACTTATGTTAACTTGTCAAATGTCTAAATATAGATGCGAACCGTGTGGATTTAATCATTTCCAGCTATTATAGAATAAAAAAGACAAAATACGAAACTATTTTTATGAGATATCGTTGATTCATTGTCAAAACGTAAAACAGACAGTCGTTTTACCAGAAATGGATTAAGCTAGAGAATTGATAAGAAGTAGTGGATTCGGAAACGATAATCAACTTGCGACTAAAGTCGCTCGTTGATTATCGTTTACGAATCCACTACTTCTTATCAATTCTCTACTACCTATACATTTATCGGTAAAAACAAAATTAAAAAAAAATGTTTTTCTGTAGACGCTTTTCTTGAAATTGAGGAATAACTCCTATACAAGTTTTAAAACACTTCATTGAAGTTTACAAATTTATCATGTCAAAACAGTTTAATTCGGTTTTTATTAACTAAAACAAAACTGTATGGTTTTCAACAATGCGCAAAAACCCATACCCTATAGTAAGCTATAAAAGGTCCCGAAATGAAAAATGTAAAAAACTAGAAACCTAACGATCTATAGATACATAGATACTTTATTCTCTAAAAACTAAATACTAGTTTACAGAGAAACATACAATATAAATACAGATACAATAGTCGAGGTAAACAAATACAGTATGATATTCTAAAAGTACAAAATTATGATGGCATACATGTTTAGTAACATGTATAATGAAAGGTTAAACTCAATAGAAATAAAAAAAAATGGAGATGGAGACGCCGACGCCACTATCGACGACGAAATATAGGTTTGTTGTGTCTCACTGCCGCTACATTGATGTCGCAGGCTCGACACAAATCAAAAGACTTGAACTTTATTGTTAACAAATGAAACACTTCAAATCAACTCACACTAAAGTTACAGGGAAACGGGGGGAGAAGGGGCTCGGACTTAGCGACAAAGCATCAATACTATAAAATAAGAATTCTCCGAATTTTTTTTTAGCGTAAATGATCATTTGAACTTATACGAATATCAATCTTTTATTTGTTATCAATTGAATTCCCTGATCTACCTCGCACTAATTGAAAAATAAACTTTTTGGAATATCTGTTTCACATGTGACGACGGACATGTTCCAGTGGTCGTAACCATAATACCGTCATCTTTTCCTTGAATGTAAACTTCCAAATAAACCCAAATCACTGGGTTTGTACTTTCTCGAATAACACGACGGGTGCCTTTCTGGAGCATCCGAGATCACCCGATGGATTTATATTACCCAGTCATACCGATCTATTGAATCAGCCAAATGAAACTGTTTTGTATGCTACCGCAACTGAAAGCTGGGGGGCATATTGTTTTACCCCTGTCCGTCCGTCCGTCCGTCCGTCCGTCCGTCCGTCCGTCCGTCTGTCCGTCCCATTATGGGTATATATTTATTCCGCATAACTCCTCCTACAGTTTGAATCCTAGGAAGTTTTCTCTTTACTGTCTGTTTGTACATATATTGAAGGTGTGCATGTGGTCAGGGTTTAATGTTTATTAATATTTGCTTTTTTGGGAGATAGTTGAACTTTGTAATTTTTTGGGAAATTTCCTTGCATAAATAGAGCGTTTCCAGATAACTCCTCCTACAGTTTGAATGCTAGGAAGTTTTCACTCTGCTGGCTGTTTGTACATATATTGTAGGTGTGCATGTGGTCAGGGTTTTTATTTTTATTATCTTTTGCTCTTTTTGGGAGACAATTGAACTTGTTTTTGTCATTTTTGGGGTATAAGCGGTTAAATGAGTTGAGTGCGGGGGCATCACTTTGTCTAGTTTACATTTTTTTCTCGTGTTGTGCTGTTACACAACTGTAACAGTCCGATGTAAGGTTAGGATTTAGCGCTCACATACATGTTAAACTCCGCCACGTGCACTTTCTTTATGTACCTGCCCCAAGTCAGGAGCATGAAGTTCAATTGTTGTCGTTGTATAAATGTGTGTCATTTTTTTTTTGTAGATTGTTTATTTATAAATAAGACCTTT